GGAGTGCTGACTCGGCCTCTGTAATAAAATAACATTGTGACAGCGCGTGTGAAGGATGGCTGGCAGCTCGGCGTAAGCAGACGGTGTGATAGCAGCCATCTATTATTCATGGCTGGACACGGAGAGACTGCCAGACAGCACTGCGACGATTTCCCACGGTACATGGTAAGTTATGAGGCACGAAAGAGCAGAGGATGAAGGACGGACGCTGACAGAGGGAAGTCAATGGAGTAGAAGCTTCATTGCTGGATGAGGGAGATCGAGAAATTTTACATTTCCTCTAAATTCCGTCAAAAATCAACGCAATGTCAATTTTGGCAAAATGCATTGAAAAGGGGGAAGGGAGGGGCACAGCTGGCATTAGGGTTGCCACCTGTCCAGGATTCACCCGGACAGTCCAGGTTTTGAATGCTGTGTCCGGGTTTCATGGCAGCAGAAACACTGACACAAGATGTCAGGCAGACAGGGGCAACCAAAATTAAGATAGGGGCTACCGGCCCCACGCTGGAAATAGTCTCAACTGTGATATTTACATATGAATGGGTGGCGCTTTTTACATATTAATAAGCCGCGACTCATTCTCCCCCAAAAAATGTCCGCGCGTCGCTAGAGTGTTCGGGTTTCTCTTGAAGAAAATGTGGCAACCCTAGCTGGCATGTGAAATGACAGATACGCATCATTTGGAGCTACTGGCAGACCTGGCTTTGCTATCGGAAGAGATGGAGCCATGTTGCCCTTAGGGTTAGGGCTCACCCTAACCCCAAGGACATATACCTAACTCGCCAACTGGCCATATAGACATCTTTTCATGACATACTTTATTTTAGTCCCTGTGATGTCATCAATTTATGTTTCTCTATGCAGTGCAGACAGATCATGGCTGGTGGGAGGGGACGGCGGGGTGTTGTACATAGCTTCCTGAAAACATCACAGCACTCTGCTGAGGTGAGCTGGTCAGGGCTGCAAGCCCCTAAAGCAGGGGTAGCAAACCTCAGGCCCTCCAGCTGTGGTGAAACTACATATCCCATGATGCATATCTCTTCGGGAGTCATGTCTGTGGCTGTGAGAATCTTGCAATGCCTCATGGGATTTGTAGCTGGAGGGCCGGAGGTTTGCTAGCCCTGCCCTAAAGGCCCTGGGTAGTCGCTCACCTCAGCCGAGGTGAGCTGGTAAGAGCTGCAACACCCTAAAGGCCCTGGGCAATCGTTCACCTCAGCCGAGGGCTCCTCTTAAAAGTCCTCAGCCCTGATGCAAGTTGTGGGCTGGCTCTTGGGAGGAGTTATGGAAATATCAGTATGCCTTGATGGGTGGATGTCAGACTGGAGCAGTGGGCGTTCTTAGACGGACTGTATTTTCATGCCGACTGGCCACATGTGATGTTGAGCTGCCATGATTGAATGAAATAAAATCCAATGAATGAAAGGAGCAGGCCAGAGCCAGTCAAGCTGAGGAGCTGAAGAGTCTGAAGTTTCAATCACACAGAGGGAGCTGTAAAGCAAGCTGCTGTCTCTTGAGTTAACCCGTCGTGTTTTGGGAATCCTTTGACATGTAAAAATAAAAAATTTAAATTACCTTTTGCACTCCTCCATTTCCTCCCGAGCTGCTCTCTTCATCTTCAGAACTCTTCTGCTCTTCGTCGGAGGTGACGTCCTCTGCGTTTCCCATAGGAATGGGGCACACTTTGTATGGTTCGGTGTAGGCACTGCAAGCAGCAAGACAAAATGATAAATCTGATGAACACATTACACTTCACAACTAAACCTAATAATTATATTATTATTATTAACCTTATATAAGGTCCGGGTCCCCTCCTCTCTCCTGACACTGTCGGGCTCTCAGTCCATGACCGAGTGCCCGACTTTTTAGAGGGGAGTGACACCAAAAGGACTGTCAGTCATTTTGGTGTCCCCCCTGCAATGATGACACCCGGGTGCGGGCCGCACCACCCGGCACCACCCTTGTGACGCCACTGGGGCAGGGTGTTGTCAACTTATAACAGGAAGTGCCTGAACAAGGACCCTCATGGCAGGATCACCAGGGATTATTTTTACTCATGACTTTGGAATTTTATTCTATGTTGAAGCCGACATAGGAGATGAGCGATTGGCCGCACTTATACGTTAACCCTTTTCAATCCGTAACGTTTTTCCTATTGTGCGTTTATTTAAAATCAGACAGCCGATGACAGGTTAGCTTGCCTGGCGAGTCTTTCCGCAAAAGCCCAGTTTTAGAACCGCCGCACACTACAGTTGCGTCGCGGTGGGCACGTCGTTATCATCGCGCTCGTTTTTTAGTTTGGAAACTAAATCTTGTTAATGAAGCCGGCGGACGGGGGCCACACTGAGAAAACATATTTTAAGCAGCTGCTGTATGCGGCGAGCAGGCGGGAACGACGCTGAGAGGCAGGTCACGTGATCCAATAAGCGCACACCGGGGCAGCGGCATGGTGTGGCTGGCGCTCGTGGCGAGGCAATTAAACCCTCATCACGGAAGATCGTCGGGCGAATTCTGACCGCGCGAGTGCCGATCATAATTCTGAGGGAGCGCCGCGGCCTGCCATGGAAGCCATGACAATAAATACTAATGATGTAAGGGAGGCAGTTTCACAGCGAGGGGTTATTGCTGGCCCGGGCGGTAATCTATAATGTTATTATTGAGGGGACGGTGAATATTGCATCCCCAGGGCGCAGACTGATATAGAAACAAGCAATGGGGAAAAAAAAAAACGCCGTCCAATTAGGAGACATTTCCTGGGACTGCGCTAAGGGAGGGGGGTTATTACCTGAATTCTTCATACAGGGAAGATAAAGACTTTATCACTGGCAATGTACATGATGGACGGGAACAATCAACACGCATGTCAGTCTGGCACTAGATACATTGTTTCGTATATTAAACACATGCATGCTCAGGAATATATCAGTGTAACTCTTCCAGGTATTTATTACCTCTCACATTGATCACAGTGCTCCCCCTGACAATGCCTTCATCTGCTGTTCTCTCTAGAAGGACTTAAAGGAGAACTGTGGGGTCAGGGCTTTTCCCCATAGTTCTCCTTAGGGTAACGGGAGGACACAAACTAGCGTTACCCTAAGATGACCATGCGGCCCCGTCCTCAGGCAAACGGAGAGTCAAAGTCAGAGGACGGGGCCGCATGGTCTCGAAACGTCGATAAGGAGATGTGTGTTATCTCAGTCAATAAACAGCATTGACTTTAATATCATGGAGTGCGAGTGACTACTTTCATCTCTCTAGAAGGACGGCACCATCTTTGTTCAGCCATCCTCCAGGGTCACCATCTACTTCCTGGACTGAGATGCCGGCTCAGAGATGACGCAATCGTGTAAATCCTGGTGCTTGGGCACAAATATCTACCACAGATCGGCCCCTGCTGCAGCCTTTTACCTTGTTACAAGGATTCAATGTTGCAGGTGTCCCCACACCTTTTTGCCAGATGAGGCTGGGGGGCAGGAAGTGGGTTGGTGGTTGTGGTGCACTTTACAAGGGGCAGGGTTACAGGGGTGCGCTGGTGGGTAGTGGGTGCTAGTGGTGCATGTTACCACCATCTCTCTCCGGTGTCCTGTCCAGCTCACTGACATCGCTGGTTGCCAGGAGCTGGGCGGGATTCCAGCCAGAGTGTCCTGCTCAGCTCCTGGCAACCAGTGATGTCAATGAGCTGGACGTGACACCAACCAGAGCGTCACAGGCTGCTAAGAGCTACTCGGAACTTGGGACGCTCTGGCTAGAAAGTGCGCGACCCAATGAGATGCCGCCTGAGGCAATCGTCTCAAGATGCCTCATTAAGGGGACAGCCCTGGTTGCACTACATTGCGACACATTAGGATTTGTTCCCTTGTAAAGTTTCCAAGCTATTAATCTCTGCAGGATCTCTGGGTTGGGACCAGCGGACTGTGCTCTATGGTCCCATCTAGAGATCTCTGGCCAAGCCCAGAACTCTAAGAAAAGATCAGCATATCAATATACACAAGTCAACGAATCTGGAATGTTCACTCTGAGCACTGGCAGAACTACCAGGGTCGCAGCAGTCGCAATTGCGACCAGGCCCTGGCGTTCCGCCACTTGGGGGGGGCCCAGCAAGGAAGCAGAGGGCCCCCCCGCGATCGTGCCGCTACTTCCCTGCCACACAGCCACCCGCAGCATGTACGGGCGGCTGTGCGAAAGGGCTGGAGAGGCTGTCACTGGTCCCGGAGAATGAGCTGACCCCGCCTCTTAGGGGCGGACCTAATAGGACCTTCTCATCTTAGCTCCGCCCCCTGGCCACCGAGGCAAGGAAGAGGGCCATGGGCCTGCAGAAGAGCCAAGGTAAGTTTGGAGTGGGAGGGAGTGCTGGGAAGAGAGAGAGAGAGTGTGTGTGTTGCTGGACTTGTAGTCCAGCATAGCTGGTGGTAATCTGCATTGCTGTATGATGATTATACAGCAATGCAGAATAGCACCAACTATGTAGGACTACAAGTCCCAGCAATGCATCTGTACATAAACACAGATACTGGGTTGGCGTTCCTGACAGAACACCGGCACTAACATTTTAAACCAGCGGCTGCCTGAGGTCCCACGCTTGCTGGGGACCTCGGCAGCCTTCCTGTTAACCATGCGGTGCCGTGGGGGGGGTCTTCATGGTTTCTTGCATCGGGCCCTGAAGGTTCTAGTTACGCCTCTGACTCTGAGCCAAAGTTGGAGAACAGCAGAGGAACACTTGCTGGTTCTTATCTGGCATTGCAAAGCTGCAGTAGACCCCAATTTAGACAGCTTGCATGCTAACAAAGCCTGGGATGCCGGGTCCAAAAAACGAACATTCTTCGTATATTTCCTTTTTAGATCAAATGTAACATAATGTAATACAGCATTATGGCCACTAGATGGAACTGAGGAGCACAGGAAATATGATTCTCAGCTCCATCTAGTGGCCTTAATTTGTTATTATATTACATTACATTTGACCTGAAAAGAACATATACTAACAACATTCGTCTTTGCCTGTGTTAACACAGAATGAACATTCGCAGAGATTTAAAGAGAGAATGGCTTTGCAAACTATTAATATATACACCCCTTAGTTTTATACATTTTCCACTACTCTGATAAGCTGTACAGCAAGGGGTTAATAATAGATCCAGAGGTGATTCTGCTGCTGAAGTGTCGGATAAAGCTGAGCTGTTACATTTCCAGCCGGTAAAACACAGAAGAAGCCTGGAGCTGGGGGTCTCTATGGATGGTTTAATCCTCGGATGATTCTTCCGTTTGTTGTAATGTCATGGCTGAGTGAGAGCAGATTGCAGCTGGGGGGCTGAATGAAGATGGGCAACTACCAAGGGAGCCACAAGACAAACGGATAGCCCACCAGAGAGAGCCAGCTCATCAGCTGAGCGATCGCTTCATACCAGTGGACCGACACTAACTGTATGTGAGTACACTGGACCAGCATTAAAGAGCATCTGAACCCGAGATCAAAAATGTCATATATGGCAGCTTGGCCGTCCTTAGATGTGGTGGCTGCATTAGTTTTCTTTATTCAGGATTGTTTTCATTTATTCTCTCTGTTCTGCCAGTAACACACTTCCTGTCCTAGGGTGACAACGCTGACTGTTGTACTGTATCTAAGGAGGGGCAGCATTGTCACTCTAGGACAGGAAGTGTGTTAGGACTACAGCTTACCTGCTCTTCTATTCATCGATGCAGCATAAGTGGAGGTGTTTTGTAGCCCACAGAGACAGCTGGGGACAATGCTAAGAGATGAGACTACAGCACATGAACGGACTACAAGATTTCTGGCAGAATTGACCATTTTTTTCACTTATCGAGCAGCTATAACAAGTACACAACTATTGTGATTGGATATTTAGCAAAACAAAAGGGAGTGAATAAGAGAAGTTCATCGTTATGGTTCTCATGCTTCATCTGAATGAAAGTAACCCAACCAATACCAACTTCACTGGAGTATACTAAACCAATGCTAACTTCATGAGAGTACACCCAACCAATACTAACTTCACGAGAGTATACAAAACCAATGCTAACTTCATGAGAGTACACCCAACCAATACTAACTTCACGAGAGTATACTAAACCAATGCTAACTTCATGAGAGTACACCCAACCAATACTAACTTGACGAGAGTATACTAAACCAATACTAACTTCATGAGAGTACACCCAACCAATACTAACGTCACAAGAGTACACCCAACCAATACTAACGTCACAAGAGTACACCCAACCAATACTAACGTCACAAGAGTACACCCAACCAATACTAACGTCACAAGAGTACACCCAACCAATACTAACGTCACAAGAGTACACCCAACCAATACTAACGTCACAAGAGTACACCCAACCAATACTAACGTCACAAGAGTACACCCAACCAATACTAACGTCACAAGAGTACACCCAACCAATACTAACGTCACAAGAGTACACCCAACCAATACTAACGTCACAAGAGTACACCCAACCAATACTAACGTCACAAGAGTACACCCAACCAATACTAACGTCACAAGAGTACACCCAACCAATACTAACGTCACAAGAGTACACCCAACCAATACTAACGTCACAAGAGTACACCCAACCAATACTAACGTCACAAGAGTACACCCAACCAATACTAACGTCACAAGAGTACACCCAACCAATACTAACGTCACAAGAGTACACCCAACCAATACTAACGTCACA